AAATAATTCAACCAAACAGTATTAGAGAAACTTTGCCACATATACAGAAGTTACACCATAAATGCAAAATGTTCCCACCAGGAGTTGTTGTTTCTGACTGTATTTGCATTACCGAATGCTTCTAGAACCGGATTTGACTGCAAAACAAATGAAAATAAGGCCAAAACACATATTGTACACAATTAAAGAACTAAATTATGTGGTGAAAAATCTAAAATCTAGCCTCAGAATGAATCAGACCCTCGTCTAAGCTTGTTGGACAGGCTGAAATGCAAGGTTTACCTCCCAGGACTTGCTGCTCGACAGTCCTCCCCTCAGATTCAGCTCTGCCTCCCAAGTAAGCAAGATACTGCATGAGCAATTTTGTTTCAAAATGATATTGTTGCAAGTGGTCCCATTAGTAGTTGGGCAATATTTTTCAAACCATTGTGAAAGACTCAGGTTTCTATCAGTCTGTCTTTCCTGTGATGTAGGAAAATAGCTCCAGACTCTTTGGGCCTTACTACAATCTCTTAAAATGTGAATGGTTGTCTCAACAAAGTTTTTACACCTATTGCACATAAGATCATCTGTCATACCTCTGTCGGCTCTAAGTTTATTTGAGGGGATTCTATCATGGAGGACAAGCCAAAGAAAAAACTTTAACTCCTGAGGAATTTCCATTTCCCAAATCTGTTTCCATCTCTTATCAACGACAGTGAAAGAAGTGTTATCAGTAAGGAGATTATAATAGTTTTTGGATGAAAACTTACCATTGGCTGCCTTACCCTAGGATATAGAATCAAGTTGCTGGCTGAATTGTGGCAGTGGAATGAACAAAATCTCTTGAACAATATTAGGAGGAAGAATCATACCTGTGGATTGCAGATTCCAGGATCCATCTGTGCCAATGAAGTTAGCCACCTTAACCTCTGTATCAATATTCGTTTGGGGATTCAGTTGCTGCAGAAGTGGTTTTCCACCAACCCACCAAGCTTTCCAGAAGTTAATGTTTTGTCCATCACCCACAATCCATTTTATACCTGCTTATAACGGGTTACAAATTTTCAAAATAGCATTCCATGTGGGAGATGCATTGTTCTTTTTTTCCAAGGTTCAGTGTTCATAGCAATGTATTTACTTTTCATAATCTCAACCCATAAGGATTTATTATTATTAGCTCTAAGTTCCCAACCTAGTTTCCCTAGGAGTGCTGCATTATTATCTCTGTTCTTCCTTAATCCTAGACCCCCACTAGCTTTGGGTGAACACACTTTGTCCCAGTTTAAGTAGTGAATTTTCCTCCTCTCTTCTGTGTCCCCCCATTGAAAATTTCTATTCAGTCTATCAATTTGATCACAAATGGACTGGGGAACCCATTGAGTTTGCATAGCATAGTTAGGGATAGTAGCAGTGACAGCCTGAATCAGGGTTGCCCTACCTGCTATGGTCAAGTTGTTAGCTTTCCATCCAGAAAACCTTATCTGAATTTTTTCAATAATGTCTTTAAAATGTTCTTTGGATTCTTTTTTTTATGTAAAACTGGTATTCCTAGGTACTTACCTAGATCCCCAATTAAAGGGAAGCCAAGGATCCTACCAACTTTAGATGCTCTTCCTCTTCTTACATTTGGGGAAACATAGACTTTAGATGCTCATCTTAAGCCCAGATATCATACAAAACTCATCAAGAACTTTCCTTAACATATGACAGTCTTTATCCTGGGCTCTTGAAAATAGAATAATGTCATCAGCAAAGATAAGGTGTGATATCACAGGACCTCATCTTTCTGCTTTAAGTCCGTTCCAGTTCTTCAGCTGCACTTGTTCATTTATCATATGACTTAGCCTTTCCATGCAAAGAACAAACAAATAAGGGGAAAGAGGGTCCCCTTGTCGAAGACCTCTTTTGGGAACAATTGGCTCTAAGGAGGAGCCATTCCATAAAATAGACAGCTCAGTCTTTGTTACACAGTTCATAATGAGATCAATCCAGCTCCTAGGAAAGTTGAAATGAGTAAGGGTTCGTTGTAGAAAAGACCAACTGACTCTATCATAAACTTTTTCAAGATCAATTTTAAGAATCCTGCTTCCCACTTTACGTTTCTTCTTTCTTAAACAATGTGCAATTTCCTGTGTAATGATTATGTTGTCAATCATCTGCTACCTGGGATAAAGCTGCTTTAATAAGGACCAACCGGCTTATCCAGCTTGGGTCTCAGCCTGGTTACTAAAAGTTTAGTCACAATCTTGTAGCTGACATTGCACAAACTAATGGGTCTAAACTGAGAAATTAACGTTGGATTCTCAATCTTGGGGATAAGAGAAATCCAGGTTTTGTTCAATTGTTCTGGGCATCTAATGTTCTGGAAAATGTCTGTTACATTCTTACAAACAGTAGGACCCACAATGCTCCTTACAAATAGATGAAGTAGCTGAAGGTTTTGTTCAAGTGTGATCTGAAGGTCGGATCCAATATAATAGACGAAGTAGCACTATCTTAACACCATAAAATCACTATGTAACATTATATAAAAGCAGTAGCACTTTGTTAACATTACATAAAATCAGTAGCACTATGTTAACATTATATAAAAGCAGTCACAATAGCACTATGGATTTAGTTAAACGTTAAAGGTAGGTATTATATCAAGCCCAACAGTCTGTCAAATACATTAATGATCGAGTTCACAAATATCAAAACAATCAATAAAGAAAATATAATACAGAGAGATTGAGTTCACAGTAGCACCTGAAAAAGGTACACGAGGACAAAGGACCACAAAGCTGCACAGAAACAGTTAGCATTGTTGCAATGAAGGCTAGAATCACATATAAATGTATGTTAGAAAAGGATATCCCTGTTGAAGAAACAAAGATATCCATGGTGCATAGATGAAGTCAACAATAAAAACAAAACTATAAAATCAATTTAAAGCATACATGAAGAACTTAGTTTCGATGACCATAAATGAAGTCAACAATACCGGATTTTGCAAACAACTTGGACCCAAGTCAATTCTAAATCCGAAAAAACTAAATCGGATAAACTAATCTTAAGATCAGCCAACACAAATATCCACTTGGTTCATTTTATCATGCAAAAGATATTAAAAAGCACAAAAAATGAGCCCACCGTCCATAAGCAAAGGGCTGAAGGAACTTTTTGAAACAAAAAAAATATCGGTTTGACAATTTATCGAACAGGTGATACACAGGACCTAGGAAGAACAGGAAGGGGTTGTCGAGTGGGGTTATGATTGTGAAGAGAGAGTGAGAAAATGAGATGATTAAGGGAGAAGAGATGCGTGACAAAGAGAAAGGAGATGCGTGAGAGAGAAATGAGAAATGATTGAGAAGGATACCTAAAATAGCATGTGGCTGGGCAGCTACTGGCTGTCGTTGGCAATGAATGTGCAACGGCACAAAAAGAGAGGGATAATGGGCGGTTGTCGCTGGCGGTGAACTGAGAGAACAGACGCGTCACTGCTGGGCATTGGGCAGTAGCACAATAGGGAAGAAGGTAGAGAGGAAATAGAGTTAGGGGGAGATGATCATAAGCACATAGAGAGAGGGAGAGTGGCCAAAGAGGAGATGCGTGAGAGAGAGGAGATAATTGAGAAGGATACCTGAAATAGGCAGTGGCTAGGCAACTACAAGCTGCCATTGGCACTATATGCAGCAGTGCAAAGAAAGAAGAATAAGGGGCGGTTGTCGCTGACAGTGAACCGAGAGAAGAGATGCGTCACTACTGGGGGTTGGGGAGCGGCGTAATAGGGAAGAAGGTAGTGAGAAAATAGAGCTATGGGGAGATGAGCATGAGCGCATAGATAGAGAGATGAACAGAGAGTAGATACATGAGAAAGAGAGAGAAAGAGGAGATAATTGAGAAGGACACCCAAAATAAGTAGTGACTAGGTAGCTGCTCGCTTTCATTGGCAGCGGATGTGCAGCGGCACAGAGAGAGAGGAATAAGGAGCGGTTATCACTAGAGGTAAACTAAGAGAAGAGATGCGTCACTGCTTGTTGTTGAAGGCTTAACTACCGGGGATTGGGCAGTAGCGCAACAGTGAAGAAGGTAGAGAGAAATAGCGATAGGGGGAGATGATCGTGGGCGCATAGAGAAAGTGAACGTGAGAAATGGAGAGAGAATTTTAGGGCACAACCATCGGTCATAGTTTGAAGAGCATATTTAGGGAAGAGAGGGAGATGATTTGAGAGACATGCGAGATAAAAATTGAGTGTAAGAAAAGAGATAAAGGGGAGACACAGAATAGATTTTGGTGGAGCCTTGGTGACAAAATGGAGAGTTTAGGCGGGAAAAAATATTTCTAGACTCATTCTGGCTCATTAGATTAGTAATTTTGAGATGGTCTAAACCACTTTGTATGTTGGGGTAACGTAGCCTGTCAATAGCCCGTCAAATGACCCTTTATTTTATCTTGAAATGATCTGCTCCACTTTTTGTCTTTTGATTCAAAAACAGCTCTATTTTATTATATAGATTAGTAGTAACGAAAAGCATTTACTGCTCAACACTGGGGTTGGCTACACATATTTTTTGGGGCACCACTTTGCCGTGTATCATGTGATATCCAGTGATGAAAATTTTATGTTAAGATAAAAAAAACAACTCCCTAAAAAATGAAATGCGCTACAAACAAGTATTTATTCTTTACTATAAAGCAAATCTTGGTCAACTAAATAGAGACTTGTTACCTCAGGTGGTGCGGAGCAAAGCATGCCAAAGCAATTATAGTACCTCCTAGGATCGGACACTTGACAAACACAAGACCTTTCCGACTGATAAGTTCTGATAACAGCTCCTGAACTCCTTTTTCTCCGGTCAAATTCAATCTCCACAAGCTTACCGAAATGACTGCAACGTACATAACATGAAGAGATAGAAGGAAACAATTCAACCAACTAGTATTAGAGAAACTTTGAAACATATACAGAAGTTACACCGTAAATGCAAATGTTCCCGCCAAGCGTTGTTGCTTCTGACTGTATTTGCATTACCGAATGCTTCTAGAACCGGATTTGACTGCAAAACAAATGAAAATAAGGCCAAAACACATATTGTACACAATTAAAGAACTAAATTATGTGGTGAAAGATCTAAAATCTGGCCTCAGAATGAATCAGTCCCTCGTCTAAGCTTGTTGGACAGGCTGAAATGCAAGGCATACCTCCAGGACTTGCTGTGCGACAATCCTCCCCTCAGATGCAGCTCTGCCTCCCAAGTAAGCAAGATACTGCATGAGCAATTTTGTGCTTTCCGTTTCACCCACTTCACTCTCGCCACTAAGCATATTGACTAACTGATTCCTTAATTGATCATAACTCTGCATCCACAGAAGTGGCATTAATCATCGTAATGCAAAAGGGAAGACAATGAAATTATAAACTCATGATCATGACAACATACCTATATGCAACATCCGCAAAAGCAAAAGGGTGGGACAAGGGGCTCAGCTCACCAAAGGCTGCCCCTTTGTACTACGCCATCATATGCCTACCATATAAATCAAGCAGTTTTCTGAAAGGATTCACAACAATTAATATGTTTCTTGTGTAAGTCTGGAAACAATATCAAGTTGATTAGCTCCAACACATTTTATTTAAATAGGAAAATGTTGAAACAGATGCTTCCAAAATCAAATGAAGTGTGGAAAATACTTACATATATTTCATTGACATCATATCTCGAATTTAAATTATGCAGAACTCCTGGCTTATGAAAATAAGCCAGCTTTGTCCTATCATCCACTCCACTTGGTGGTGCTTCACCATCTTCTGGATAAATACAAAAAGTGTTAACAACAACCTGTAACAGAAATTTAACAAAAGAAAGAAAGGATCAAATTCAGTGAATCTTTCATCTCTGCATATTTGTTTCTTAACCAACAAAAATACCTAGAATAATTTGATGGAAATGATTTGACAAAAAGTTGTTGGACGAATTTCCACTTGTCAAAATTCCCTACAAAGCATATAAAATAACAGAAAAAATGAATTAAAAGTTGATATTCAGCATTTCAATAGTTGCAATCATTTGAAGTAGATTCACGAATTTCTCTTGAAACTCTCAAATCCATCTATATCCATCACCCCAATTAAGTATTTTGAGTCTGGGTCTTGACCAATTGAACTATGGATCTTATCCACAAGCCTACAACATCGATATATCAATACAAAGGCATAAGCAAAAACTACATCTAGATATTCCAAAAAATTTCGGGGTACAAAACTTAAAATAGGAATAAAATTCCTCCAATGACAAGTAGTGGTTACCAATCAAGCAAACATGAGTACACAATTTGCCAAAGCATCTCTACTGGCAACTGCAGCTTCTGGATCAAGCCATTTGGTAATGGTTTCATCATGAGTTACAATTATACGTTTGAAGAGGGAATCCTCTAAAGACTTTATGTCACACCTAAACAATACCAAACAATTCAAAGGTTGCATTTGGTTGAAATTGCATTTTGTTCTCCCGTAGTGAAAATTAAGTCAAGATACTTGAAAATTTATTTACTTCATTTGTGTGTGCCAGTCACCCTGTGCCAATGAAATTGATTATTTACGCAAACAGCTCCACAGCAGTTCTAAAATGAAACAAAAAATTTTCATTTGGCCACACATGAGTCGATTGTCTTTTCCTTCGCAAATTTGATATTTCCAAGATGGAGAATCGCAACCACAATTCGAAAAAAACACATCCAGAGGAAGGAAGAAAATCAACAAGAATGAATTAAAGGATAGATTTTAAAGTGGAAAAATCATATTTCTTTCCCATATTAACCACAACTCCAAGCAAAAACCTGTTCCTCAGTACTAATTCCAACAACATCCATTGGCCCCCTTGTAGCAAAATATTCTTTAGAATCATCAATGTCATCTAACTCGTAGCAATTTAATTAATTCAAATCATGAAACGTTATAGGATTTGCTAATTTGTACTTTTGAAGATCCTGGTAGCATGGAAAAATAATATAAGATTTGACTGAAATTGAAATGATATCCCAACACAATGATCAAAATTGAACTTCAATTCCCACTTTCACACATGCAAGCCTACCACACCTTTGGAACCCAACCAACAGGTTAACTTGAATGATGGAATAATTACTGCAAGGAACTTAATTTTAGAGGAATCGATGGTGTTTTCTTAAGAAATTGAACAAAAAATAACCACCGTTAAACAGACTAATAAATAAAAATGTATAAAAAATCTATGAAATAAACTAAATTTACAATAAACTCCTCTAAAATTAAACTGTGTCTCAATTTAATTACAACCTAGATTGATATTCCACAAAATATTAACAATTATTAGTCAACAAATTTCACAAAACATATCCAAAAAAAATGTGAAACATTCTAGCTAAAAGTATGGCCAAACAAAGATGAGCAATATAGTATAACAACGTATTATAAACATAGTTTTAATGTATTTTAAAGGTATCTCAAATATTCCAAACTTGATTCAATCAAAAAACATACACAATAAAACATGCCGCTCATTGTGGTCCCTACTCGGTCCCAAAGCATGAAGGCAGAAGGCCTCCTCTCAATTGTCATGTCATGATCATAGCCATACCCTTCTATAAAAAAAAAGGGAGAATCCACAAGGTGTCAAATAAGCTCCAAAAGTCATGAATTCTTTACTTTCCAAAAACTACATCTCTCCTACAAAAATTTCTTGAAATGCTTTGTACAACTATATAATTTTTTCAATAACTTAAGAAAAAAAATCACATGTCAGTAAGTTCAATACAATATTCACAGCTATCCAAAAGTTCGACATAATGAAAAGAACTATGCTTTTTTTCCTACTTTTCTTACCCTAGAATCTAGGCTATAGATAAATGCACATATTGGAACAAACTCGTATATGTGGAGTAAAGCAGTTCAAGAGATACCTGTGCAATTTGATCAGTACCTCGGTATTTCAAGAGCTAAAAATGTTTTTTTGAGTGACGACAAGAAAACTCAAAAAATTCTCGTATAACTCGTCCTCAACTTCAATGTTTTTACTCCAATAAATGGATACTGGTGGTAGAGAACCACCAATGGAAACACCAACCAGCTCTAGAATTACCACAACCTACACACTGATAAACAAATTAAATTAAATACTCAAAAGATGTATCCATATCATAATCCATTTTACTTATGCGCTGCACAATATCATAGATTGTAGAAAAAAGCGTAAGATCTTAACTGGTCACGGTCCAAAATGTTTGGGAAGAAACAAAAAGCCATTGCGAAACAATCCACAATAAAAGCATACTATGTTACATATTGAAGGTCGGATCCAATATAAAAGATGCAGTAGCACTATGTAAACATTATATAAAAGCAGTTGCAGTAGCACTATGGATTTAGTTACACATTAAAGGTAAGTATGATATCAAGCCCAACAGTCCGACAAATACATTAATGATTGAGTTCAAAAATGTAAAAACAATCAATAAAGACAATATAATTTAGAGATTGAGTTCACAGTAGCACCTGACAAAGGTACATGGGAAGGAAAAAGGACCACAAAGCTGCATAGAAACAGTTAGCATTGTAGCGATGTAGGCTAGAATCACATATAAATGTATGTTAGAAAAGGATATCCATGTTGAAGAAGCAAAGATATCCATGGTGCAAAGATGAAGTCAATAAAAAAAACAAAATAATAAAATCAATTTAAAGCATACATGAAGAACTTAGTTTCGATGACCATAAATGAAGTCAACTATACTGGATTTCGCAAACACAACTTGAACCTGAGTCAATTCTAAATCCTAAAATAACTAAATCGAATAAACCAATCTTAAACATCAGATAACACAAATATCCATTTGGTGCATTTTATCAAGCAAAAGAGATTAAAGAGCAAAAAAAAATGAGCCCACTGTCCACAAGTAAAGGGCTAAAGGAACTTTGAAATAGGCAGTGGCTGGGCAGCTCCTGACTGTCATTGGCAATGGATATGCAGTGGTGTAGAGAGAGAAGAATAAGGGACGGTTGTCGCTGGCAATGAGCCAAAAGAAAAGTTTGTCATTACTGGGGATTGGGCAACGGTGCAATAAAGAAGAAGGTAAAGAGAAATTAGTGGTAGGGGAAGATGGACGGAGAGGAAATGCATGAGAGAGAGAAAGAGGAGATGATTGAGAAGGATACCCGAAACTAGAGGTGGCTAGGTAGCTGCTCGTTGTTGTCGGCAATGGATGTGCAGCGGTACAGAGAGAAAGGAGACAAGGGGCAGTTGTCACTGGCGGTGAACCGAGAGAAGAGATGCGTCACTTCTGGGGATTGGGCAACAACACAATAAGGAAGAAGGTAGAGAGAAAATAGAGTTCGGGGAGATGATCATAAACACATAGAGAGAGATGGATGGAGAGAAGATGCGTGAGAGAGAGAAATGATTGAGAAGGATACCCGAAACAGGCGGTGGATGGGTAGCTACTCGCTATCATTGGCAGTGGATGTGCAGCGCACACAGAGAGAGAGAGGAGATAAGGAGTAGTTATCACTGGCGGTGAACCGAAAGAATGTGTCACTTCTGGGATTGGGCAGCAGCATAATAGGGAAGAAAGTAAAGAGAAAAAAGAGTTAAGGGAGATGATCATAAGCGCATAGAGAGAGATGGACGGAGAAGAAGTGGTGAGAGAAAGAAGAGATAATTGAGAATGATACCTAAAAAGGTAGTGGCTCGGCAGCTGCAGGTTGTCGTTGACAATGGATATACAGTGGCACAAAGAGAGAAGAATAAAAG